AAAATGTGATTTTAGGGGGAGTTTCTTCTTCGTGTTTTTCTGAAAAATGTCATCTTGGCCTCGAAAACCGCGTCGCAAACTCGTTTTTCTGCTAAAACACTGTTTCTGCAATTGACCCAGGGTTCTGCCCATTTGAGCGGGCCCCCGCCAAGCACAGGGCTGCTCCGCACCATTTCCCACGGTTCTGCCCATTTGGGCGGGCGCCTGCGGGTTTTGGGCGGGCGCCCGGGAGTACTGTTCCTGCTCCAGACATCTTTCTTCAACAGGTCATATCTCACTCGTTTTAACTCGGAATTGGTCCGTTCTTGTGTCTAAACTGACCGCGTCGAAATAACTCGGAATTGGTCCGTTCTTGAGGGTTTTGGGCGGGCGCCCGGGAGTACTGTTCCTGCTCCAGACATCTTTCTTCAACAGGTCATATCTCACTCGTTTTAACTCGGAATTGGTCCGTTCTTGTGTCTAAACTGACCGCGTTGAAATAAGATTTCCAATGGTACCAATTAGAGATTCAGATTCCATTTTTAGCTCAAGTTATTAAAGTTTTAGTTTGATAATATCGGTTTTTGGTTCGAACCGGGATAGGGTTTCCGTCCCTTCGACTTCAGGACTTGATATCTTTGCCATCCGGACTCCGAATCATGCGATTCTTGAGTCTAACTTTGTTAATTTTTCATTTTCTTTCCAATGGTATGCTTGGTAGCATCCATTTCTCTGTGAAATGACCATTTTGCCCCTGAAGCTTAATTGTTACCTTTCCGATCTCTTACTTCCGCACTTATCCCTTTGGGTTCCGAGACCTCATGGAAGGTCACCTTAGGGTCTTAGAGGTGTGTTATGCCTTGGGAGACAGTTGTCTTATCTTTTGCTTCCGCATCTGGATCTGCTATCGGGTCAATCTTCGGTTCATCACTGTAGTACCGGGTTGAATCAAACCCAGGTCGTTACATCAAGTCCATATGAAAATGGTGATTCTTGTAGCACATTGGACTCAATTTCAAAAGGATCAAAATATGATGGAGGGTCATAAAGAGAAGGGATGTAGTGGTCCCCATAACTTGGTTCTAAAGGCAGACCTATGCTTAGACAACATATGAACAATGTGATAGCCTCAACAAGGACTATCTCGCAAGCATAAAGTAATGAACAATTAAGCTGTAAGAGTTTCAAGAATTGCTTACAAAGGTCACAAGGAATTTAAAGCTCGTTTTCTTTGTAGTCAAGTACCTAATTGAACATAGAAGAGAAAGTGAGAAAGTAATAAAAATAAGAAGCAATCAAATGAACACTATTGTCTAATTTAATTCCAACAAAACCGTTAATCCCCAGCAACGACGCTAAAAACTTGATGGTTCTTTGGCGTGGATTTACGGTTTAATTCAAAACAATGTGATTTAATCCTTGACAACGACGCCAAAAACTTGATGCTTCCTTGTGTGTTGCACAATAACGTGTTAATTTTAGAATATTAAGAAATGTGCTAAATGAGTATCAACTTTTACAATTTATAAAAGCCATTTAACACTTATACAATGAAGTATAGTGAGAAGAGATCGTCCTCAAGGATTAAACACATAGTTGGAATCTAACTTGACTTTAGTGAATCAAAACATTGAAAGAGATGGTTTGGTTTGGGTTGGTTGATTACTCTAAAATTCACTTAATAAAACATGCAATGGAAATTAAACTAAATGAATTGTGTTTAAATGATAAGAAGAGAGGTCTTAGGGCATAAGAATCACCACTAAACTCATTCACTAAACCACATACTTTCAATTAATTGGGGAAAACATTCTTGTAATCTAGATACAACTACGAATTGCAATAATAAGCATGGACCTTCAAATTCAAGTATGAATTGTCTACCTAACTACAATTACTTTAATGTGTAGCACAACCCATCAAGCCTAAGCAAAATCTATCAAACCAATTAACAATTGTAACACACATCAATCTAGAGAATAATGCAATTTACAATAATAAGACATGGACTATCAATTCAAGAATAAATTGTCTACTTAACAAGAAGTAAACTAAGGTGTAGCACAACCTATCAAGTCTAAGCCATAATCCATCAAATTAATTTACAATTGCATCTAATAAAAACCATACATAGCCATCACTAAATACAATGAGTAAAAATATTTAGTGTAGAGAATAATCCTCAAATAATTACACATAAGATAACATGTAATCGCATAGAAAATCAATAGGAAGAATTAATCATAGAAACTATAGGAAAAACCAAGTTTCATTATATACACAAGACTATGGCACAAATCACAAGATATAAATCCCTGAAAAGATGAAAGACAGGGGTTTAGATTACAAGCTTAGGGTCCATCCAAGCCCTAAGGAGAAGTCTAGCCAATTATGGAGGAGGTGGATGTGGTCAATAAGCCCTTAAGAGCAATCCCTAAACATGGCTTCATATTCTTCCTCTTCTTCTTCTTTGTCTTGAAACCCTAGAAAGAGAAAGTGTGTAAATCTAGAGATATTTTCCTTGCCTCCACTTTTCTCTCCTCACAAACCCTAATTCTCTCTTTAACTTTCTCACTCTAAAAATAAAACTATCTATGTAAAATGAAAGCTTAACATTTACAAATGGTTCAATTCCCTTTTTATACAAGACCCTAAGAGCCCAAAATAGGTCAGAAATATATGCCCTAAAATGATGCAATCCCGTGGTCCCTTAGTAGGTGAAGATCCGGCAAAACTGCGCACAAAAATATCTGCTACCAGGCAAGTTGCGATCGATCACAACTTGGCTGCGATCGATCGCAGCTAGCTGGCATATTCATCCTTATCCTGGCAACGTGGCAGCGAACGATAACATGGCAGTGCGAACGATCACGATTTGCATGAATGATCGCAATTTTGGCTGCGAACGATGACGTTGCTTGCCTGACTTGCAAACTATCGCGGATTCGCTACGATCGATCGCAGAACTTGCGAACGATGGGCTGCTTGCTTGACTCTAAAAAGGTTTTAATGAATTGTTTTTAGCTCGTTTAAACCTTATTGACTTGAAATTGATAAAAACAATAAAACGAAAAAATAAAGATAAATTAAGGTCCTAAAATACCGGTTGGAATGTGCATATTTCAACCTTTATCACAAACCAAAAAGGTTTTAATGAATTGTTTTTAACCCATTTGAACTTTATTGACCTGAAATTAATAAAAACACAAATTAGAACTAAAGTAGGGAAATAAAGATAGATTAAGGTCCTAAAATACTAGTTGGAATGTGCATATTTCAGCACTTATCACAAACCACTTCAATTTTAGAGCAGCCACGAAAACGAGAGAGGAAGGGCGAACCAAGCCTCAGATGCAACACCAACCTTCTCCTTCGTTGAGATCCGAGACCTAAAGGGCATGACATCAAACTAGGAGGAAAAATGAAGTAAGGGCTAAATTGATAATTCCAATATTAATCCGTGTCCACCATCTGTATTATTATAACTTATACGGTATTTGTTATATAATGTTTAATGTTTGGGCCTCAACTATTAGTCAGTTGCGAAAAACCCCCTTTATAAATATTTTTGCCAAAAAACTCTCCTCAACTATCCTACGGGGGTGTTTTTAACTGATATCCGTTTAAGTGATTGTTTGAGGGAATTTTTCAGATAAAATTACCCTCTTAACAAGTTATTCTTTAGACAATTTATTTATTTATTTTTTTTCTCTCCGTCAAGCAAGGTATGTGAAGCAGCAAAGAAACATACCTAAAAAAATAAAAAAATGAAAAGCCAATAAAATCATATTTAAGTTATGTATAATTAATAAAATCAAATTGAGTACAACCGTACAGGAGAGAGAATATCCACAATTGCATTGGAATAGAAGATGGAAAAATTAAGCAGCTCAAGAACTCCTTCAGTGTATTTGATCTTTACCAGCCATTATAACAGTTAATTATTTTAAGGAAAATAATTAATAATTTGCCATGTTTCCTTAGTTCAATTTATTTATTTTCCTTAATTGAATTATACTACTGCAAGGTGAGTTGGACTAAAATTGGCAATTAAAAAGTAACATAACTTCTTTTTCAAATCTGATTTTTTTTTTTAATTACTTACTTGGAGAACACAAAATATCCCAATGTAACTTTTTGAAACGAAATTGTTGTAGTCGATGTACTCAAGTTAAAGACCTAAAAATATGAAAGTTTTTAATGTGAAAAGATATCGTTGCCCTCTATTCAATTCACAATAATCTAATTATAAAGGATATTTAAGTAATTTAGTTTAAGAGAAATGCATTTATCATCTCATCATATATTGTTTTGATTCCACCACCTGCTACTTGAAAATTGTTGTGATTTCATAATTGGGTTTCTCAATCTGCTGTTAGTTTTGTGTGTGAAGGAATGAGAAGACTTGCTTGACGCGGAGAGAGAAGAGAGAGAGAGAGAAAAATAAATAAATTGTCTAAAGAATAATACGTTAAGGAGTAATCTCATCCAAAAAATTCATTCAGACAACCACTTAAATGGACATTAGTTAAAAATACCCCTTGGAATTTTTTGCAATTTGCTCTTAAAGTTTTTATGCCAATGTAACGCTGAAAGAGGGTCTTTAAAATTTTGTTTACCCAATATATTTAGTGACATGGACTACTGTAACAAGTGTCATTTGTCTCATATTGAAATCGGATGAGAAAGTGATTGGGTATAAATAGGTGGACATTTAGTACTACTCAATAGTTCGAGCTTTTGGGTAAATAGATAAACACCTACCTGTTACAGTTGGTATTAGAGTCGGACCTAGTTTTTAATCGGTGTCACGCCAAGCGCTAAGTCTAAATACCCCGAGTAGGCAGATGATCCGAGTCATAATGAAGGCGTTGCGAGTTTGAGTGGGGGAAAATGTAATAAGATTTATTTATTTCCATATAAAAGTGATTAAGTATATAAATAAATAAGTGGGTATATATTTGAATTTACGAGTAAATGGTCAAGCGCCCACAGTTACATCTACATCTACCGTGATCCACTTATTACTCGGAGAAAACCAGGCACTGTGCAACAGGAGGGAATTTTGCAGTGGATATAGATTTTGCGACTGCCGGAGTTCACACCACCCCAATTCAGTTTCGCAGTTCGCTTTAGCTACGCCTCACCGGACACCCGTCTAGAAAGAGAGCAAGAGATGGAGAGTGGCAGTGAAACACAGTTTCTCTTAAACCCTAAGAGTGGAAGCGCGGAGGAAGAAAACCCTAAACCAAAAGCAAAGCCGAAGGTAGTGGTCGTCATGGGGCCAACTGGTTCTGGCAAATCTCGACTCTCCGTTGACCTAGCTTCCCACTTCCCAATCGAGATTATCAATTCTGATTCTATGCAGGTTTTGTGTTTCTATAGTTATTATACATATATTTGGGGGCTCACTCTTGTGTCTCGTTGTAGCATCTTCGGCGCTTTCAAAATTTTGTCTGTTTCATTTGATAGGTTTACAAAGGATTAGATGTTCTCACCAATAAAATTCCCCTTGAAGACCAGAAAGGTTACATTTATTTTTCTATCTCCGTCTACGCGCGCACACATATTTATGTATGTATATATGTAAATTTGTGCCATTTATTTGGTCTTATATATATTATGGGGTTTTGACTGTAGGAGTGCCGCATCATCTTTTGGGCATAGTTAGCCCAGACATTGAATTCACAGCAAAGGATTTTAGGGATGCTGCTATTCCTGTGAGTCTCTCTCCCTCTCTCTCTCACATTGAATTCCACATCATCTTTCAACTAGCTAATTTACCTGTCCCTGACTCTAATTAAAATTTTGATGGAATTGCTTCATTGATTGTGAATTTTTGATGTACCAAGCATAACACTTACTTGGATTGGGTTTTGGCCTTTTTGGTTATTGAAGTTCTGGTTATTCATGGTGTTTTGTCTATGTCTGTAATCCGTGTGCTGGGTATCTGTTATATGTTCTTGGCTGCATTTCATTTTGGATGAAACGAGGAATTGGTTTGTAATATTATTTCCTTTGTTGCCTATCGAATGGGTAAGAGAAAGGGATTGGGAAGGATTATAATGGTAAGCCATACAGATTCATAATGGATAGATTTGATGGGAAAAGAGATTTGATTATGGGAGGGGTCCCTACAAATTCTTCATGCTTCTTTCTATCAATCCCTTTTCTTTCTACAATGACTTCCTTCCCCTACAACAGTTCTATTCTTGCTTTGCAGTTGTTCTCTTATCTCCTTCTCTTTCTCTCTCACACACACAGACACACACACTCTTATCTGTTCTCTCTATTTCTCTTATGTGTTTGTATTTAACTGATTTATCTCTTTTCACCCCCATGCTGAAAAGTGATAGCCAATATTGTTGACCTTGGAAGTTTGTAGGATTGGATCTTAGGCTTTTTGATAGAGAGTTGCGCACGGTCCACTGATCTAGACCTAGATATGGTGAAGAGGTCTTGTAGAATTAATTAATTGTTTTAACTGATTTTAAAATTAAAACAAATTTAACAAAAAATTAATCTTAAAATATAGCTTATAATAAAATTTTTAGTAATCCACAATAATAGAAAGGAGTACAAGCATAAGTAGTAGATACCAGATTTTTATGTGAAAAACAGTAACAAAGGGAAAAAACATGGGACCTAGTCCAGACAAACCAAATTCACTATCAACAAAGAAGGTTTGCAGCCTAAGTTAATAGACTCTGTTCCAAGAATCTTCTAGTTACCAACTTACCTCTCGACCAAAAGGACCCCAAACTTTTTCCTCAAAAAGTCTCCAGGCAGTGCCTAAGCTCGTCAACAGTGTTTGCTCCTCACACACCTGATTCTCTATCGATTTGGTCTCAGCCACTAGTCGTCCAGGCATTAATTTGGTTGTGAATTGAACGGCAGTTTTGAACTTGTCTTAGAAGTACACATCAAAGATTGTCAACACAGATAAACTACACTCACCAACTAAATGCAGATGATGAGTGTAAAAGAAAAAAGATGCACTCTTAAAACTCATAAAAGTATGCCTTCAATACCATATTTTGTGTATGTGATTTGTCCTAGTGTTATGTATTTATAGGCAACATAGAGGTAGATTAGGTTTTTTTGGTGAGTTTGAAACTGAGTTGGAAACTACTATTCTGAACAGCTCGATTAACAGAGTTGGTAACCCACTAACACAATAAAGGTCATGCATGATGGATGTGTGGCTGTAGGCTGAACGATTGGTGGAAACATGTGAATTTTCATTTACTGTATGCTTACATCAAGTTTCAACACTAAGCCCATATCTTTTTGCCTTAGTTGTAAATGAACTGAGAAGACACAGCCAGGCTACGATTCAATGGTGTATGTTAATTTCTGATAATATTGTTTTGATCAATGAAACTAGAGAAGTAAAGTGCCAAATTAAAGGTTTGGAAGGAAGCCCTAAAATCACAAGGAATTACACCAAAAAGGGTCTCTAAACACTCAAAAGAGTCCAAAAAAATCAACTATCTCTGCCATGGAATTACAATTTCTCCCTAGAACCCAACAAAAAAAGAGTGGTAATAATGGAGAACTTCAACCCACCAGTAGAATTCTCCTTTCCTTCAAAGGATCTCCAATTTCTTTCAAGCTATAATCACCACCAAACGCACAAAGCTGTAACCTTTAAGAAATCACAGCTTGGGCCCTCACTATACAACCTCTCCAAGCCTTCACCAAGTCTTTGGAGGAGCTAGGTATCAGCCAGAACTCCTACCACGCCCAACAACATGACCTAGCAGTCCCAAGCCATTGGGCAATGCAGAAGAAGGTGATCAACCGTTTCTTCATCTCTCTTATACATGTAGCAACAATTTACCTCCACTTATCTCCTTCTCTTTAGATTATCTTGAGTTAAGATCTTCCCTAACACAGAGGTCCAATAAAAAAAAAGGGGGGGCCTTTGAGCGCCAAATAGTATTCCCCAGGAAAGAATCTCTAAGAACATCTGAAAGACATCTGAAGAAGGATTGAACATCAAAACGTCCCTGGGAAGAGGGAACCCACACCTAGGAGTCAGAGACTCCACCTACAATCTCCTGGTGGTACAAGATCTCCAACAAGCCAATGCGAGTTTATGACACACATTTTGAGAATCATCATCTAGTTGTGTGAATGGGATCTTACTTTATTCCAGAAATCTGAAGAATTCCCATCCCTGGAGGATAACTTGCGGTGAATCAATCAGTTGCTTGTTGAACACACTTAATCATTGTAGAGTATGTCGCATTGGCATAAGGGGTTCCTGGTGTGCCCGTCGCCGACGCGACCAAATTTGTGTGCAAGTGAGTGTGGCCAAGGTTTACATTTATAAATGCCACTATTACCGCTAACTAAAAATATAGCAAGGGTGAATAGGGATCGTCCCAAGGGATGGAGGGTCGTACTAGGTTGTGGAACCGAGATTAGGGTTAGTAGGTCGAGTGATCAAAAGATTGGTTGGTGGTTGAATTATGCTAAGATGTAAGTTAAACTAAACTAGACAATTAAATGCAATAGAGGTAAAATAAGAGAGAGAGAGATCTTGGGGTTTAGAGATCACCACTAAGCATAGCTCTTCTACACTCTTAATGAATGATTAATGAGGGGAAAGGCATGTATTGTAACAATGGTGTGTGTGTGTGGTTGTTTCAATAAGTATGGATGACTAATTAAGCATATATTGTCTAGACAACACAATGAATAGCACAATATATCAAACTAAGCCGTTAATTCCTCTTTAAGCTCATAATCCAAACATATCACAAAATTAGAGAAATATGCCACTTGCATTCATAAGTATGGAACATCAAACAACAAGCATGGATTGTCCTTCCATTTAACATCTAAACTATCACTACACTACAATTAAGCTAATGACATGAAATTAAACTAATTAAACTAAGGGAGAGGTACAATCCATCAAGGAATGAATATGAACCATCAAATAAAGTACAAGAACATTCCATTAAGCACTATGTCTTGACAATCTTTAAATTTATAGCATTAATACACATAGACATGCATTAATAGCACAAGAAATAGAGACAAATACATGAACATCTATTCTAGTATACGTAGACATATGGATAGAATGAAATGATCAATTGGAAGCATTAAACCATACAAATTATTGAATAAACAAGATTTATATATATAAAGGTGTCAAAACATGTATCACAATACAAATCCCCTAAAAAATACATAAATCAAGATGTAGAAAGCATGCTTAGGGCTAACTCTAGCCCCAAGAGGATGTCTAGCCACTCATGGATGATGTCTTCCAACCCTCAAGGGCTAACTCCATGGTAGATATTGCTCCTCTTCTTGGTTGATGGAAGATCTCCAAGCTTGTGTCTCTAGCCTCCTCATCCTCCTCTAATTATCTAAGCCTCCAAGTATATGAGTATATGTCAAAAAGTGGCTCATATTCTTTATATAGGTAGGTCAAAAATCACCCAAAATGAGCTGGGCTCGTACACTAAATATTCCTCCAATGATTGGATATGAGACAACTTTTAATGAGCTGGAATTTGGATTTTCTCAGGATTTGGGAAGTTTGATCGATCGAACTTGTGGTGAGATCGATCGATCATGGATGAGATCTATCGAACTGAAGTTGGATCGATCCTCTATGGCGGCGCCTTTTTGGATAAAAACAAATCTGAGATATTTGGGAAAAGCACAAAAGTGGTTGGTAGGGTGGTATAGTCTGGATAAGATCAATCATTTGGATAAGGACAAGATGGTTCGATTGATCAGAGATTGAAGTTGGATCGATCGAACTTTGAGATCTTTGAATAGGGACAAACATGGCTAAGATCCATCTTGAAGTGCTGAGATCGATGAAAGTTGGATCGATTGAACTTTTCTTGAGATCGATCGAAGTTGATGAAATTCCACCATTTGCTTCCTTTTGCTCTACTTTGCTCATTTCTTTGATTCATCCCATAATTGCTTCATTTCTGCTCTTATTTGGCCGAGTTAGCTTATTTTGGGGATAAGTACCTGAAAATGGAAATAATACGAAATCAATCTAAAGCAGGAATATAAGATAGATAAAGGTCCTAGAACACCTAAGCTTAAGGGGTTTAAATGCGCACTTTTCAGAGCTCATCACATCCCCAAACTTAAATATTGCTAGTCCCTACCAATGAACTAGAAAGTAAAGGAATGAAATGAACAACTATACAAGTATGAACTAGAAAATAATAAATGGATAGCGCCACTTTCGTAGGGAACACGATTGCATTTAGCATATGCAACAAGCCTTTTAAACCCCTAGTGGACGAGTGAAGTCTAGTGAGGGTTTCCAGAAATGATACCCACAAACATTAAGCTCATTCTTTCAAAAGAGGTACCAATATTGCAAACAAGTATTGAGAGAAAACTATCTCAAGTATGCAATTTTTCAACCATTCCCAAGCATTCTCTCAAAATTTCAACATCAAACAAGCAAATATGGTCCTCCACGCATCAAGAAATGATCATGCAAATTAAAACAACACTATAATCCTTTTTGAGTGGACCGGCATCAAGTGTGTTGCTATCTTAGCCAACTAAAGAATTAATCACATCCTTACCCTCAAACTAGTACACAAATCTAGTCCCAATCATCAAAACAAAGAGTGGACCTTTTATTAAAATTTTATTGTTCTAGGTACGCTTATTCTTTTTACTCGATTTTTTATTTTATTTTATTATTTTTATTTATTTA